GAAAAGTCTAAGTGTTGTCGCGAAAGTCCTAGAAAAGATACCATTTGTGTTACAATGTCCCACATTTAAACGTATAGCATATGTGAAAATCAACTCACTACTCCACTGTGAAAGTTCTGATATTGGTTTCACAAAAAATGCGGTGTAAATTCGAACATATTTTATGCAATAAATTATTTCATAATTATTTACGATACTTATCCCCAAGTATTTTTAATAAAACATTCTGTCTGTGTCATCGACCGGAATCTCCTCTATCGAGAAAAAAACGATGAAGTTAGAGCAATATATCGATCAAAGACATAAAACTTCGTTGGAAGACTACGAGGCTTTTCGAAAAACCACGCCACTTTAAGGCACAAAAATTTTGATGAAGGACAATCTTATGAAACATACCTTCTTCTTCTAGATGAAAGGTCAAACTATCTTAGATTTGCATGTGCCAAGAAGATACTAGAAAATGTCGTTCAGTGGGTGCATTTCAAAGGCAAAAACGAACATCCCGAGCTGTTTTCATGATAACTTGCAAAACAACCGCCAGTGGAAGTAGTGTGGACTTTCATCTTAAAGAAGAAAGTCTGTTTCAAAAGATTGTCCTTCGAAAGAATTTTTTGTGCCTTAAATTGGCTTGATTTTTCGAAAAGCCTTGTAGTCAGTCTTCCAACCCATTTTTATGTATTTGATCGATATATTGGTCAAATCTCATCTTTTTTTCTCGATAGAGGCTGAATCGATAGGCTTCTGCGAGACAGTAGAGATTTGTCTCTGATAACTCCTTGTATTTCAATGGAGTGCCTCTTTTTCCCCCAATGCATAAAAAGAAAAAAAGACAATCTCGAGTGGGGTTGATGGTGTTTTAATTAGCTTAATGAGTTTAACCGATAATGAGCTCAAAATTTTATGGTAGAGAGACGAAAATTTGAGCTACAAGATGAGATATTTTGCAACTATACGTCCAAAGCGTACCTAGCAGTCAATTATTGATTAAAACTTCGTGTATTTGAATGGAGTGTGTCTTTTTACCCCATGCAGACTAGTGGGGTGTCTCTTTTTACTCCGAGCGGGGGAAAAAGAGACATTTTCATGGGACTCTTCGCATTTTGGATCTGGTTGAAAATCGGTCAGTGATTGCTAGAAGACTTTTACATCAACGTGTAGAAAAATGTTCGCTCCACGATCATGTTCAACAGCAAATTTTCAATTCAACAAAAAAAGAAATTTTAAGTGTCTCGTAGTCAAACAGTCAATTAAAGAAAAGGAAAAAGAAATTTTTCCAACTTTATGCAGAGTAGTAAAACATAAAATACAAATAAAGTTGAAAAAAGCATACTAAAATCGTATATATATATATGTATATATATAAAGACGAAGAAAAATCAGAAATAAAACAAAGTAAATCTCGTCAGTAATGGAGAACATACTGATCATTCAGACATATATTACATTGTATGTTGAGCCGATAATATTATATCGTCCTCTCAAGAAATACTTTTCTACTATTTCTCAATTGCAGCACAATTATTTTAATCAACGGCAAAATACCTTTTTTCCATCTGAATTCAGACTACAACAACATAGATTTGTCGGACACTGAATCGGTCAAAAGAATATTGATTTGAAATAAATATGAGGATACATTATACATTATTTGGTATGATGAGCTACAAGACTTTGAAATAATAAGGACTCTGAAACAGCTACATGATCATCTTCATCTATCTTCGACAATAGACGGGTTATTAGATTATACTAAAATCACCAATGAACAGTATAAAATCATAATAATAGTTTTGGGAAAATATTCACGTGATATAGTTTCTTTATTTTATATTCATAAACAGATCGATTCATTTTTCATATTTTGTCAAAGTAATAAGCTATATCAAGATGTAATGCTTAATTATTCAACGAAATTGATCGGAATATGCACTGATTATAAACAATTATTCATTGCATTAGAAAAACAAATACGCTATGTTATGAGTGAATCGTATTTTAGTTGTACAATTTGTGGGAAAAAATGAAAGTAACTTTATCAAAAATCGGAGTCGACCAGATTGTTCCCCTTAATTTTCTGAGTACCATGTAAAAATTTCCAAACTACCAAAGATCTAACGGCTGAGATAATAGAGGTGCAATCTCCTAATGTATTAAATTAACGGTGACCCGTGATATTTTCAAAATAACTTCTAATAGAAACTAGATAGAGACCTACGATTTACGCAGGACACCTCTAGGCAGCATTATCTACTAGCTTAGGAGTAATTGGGCGGGAAAAATTACCTGCAGGTTGTGTACCCCCTGGAAAAGAAATAGAACAATAAAAGGTGCGAAATATCTCAAAAAAGATCCAAACTTTCGTGCGAAAAAGCTCACAAAACCGAAAGATATTGATTTTGAGATTTTCCGAGGTTTTGTGAGGTTCAAACTGGAAAAACCTGATGTGTGAGGTTTCATTGTTTTCCCCCAAAAGATATTTGGTCGATTGATCCTCGAAAAATGTCTAAAAACCACAACCACGAAATGGCTTATTGGTAAATACTTCCAAAGCTATTGTTTTACGTAGTGCTGTTTGCTCTACTAGAAAGAGCGTGTTCGAAAAGCCATTAAAGTTTACTTTTTTCAGTTCTGCACAGCTTTGAATAGGAAAAAGGTTCGAAACGAATCTGTCCCTACATTGTGCGGCATAACGCGAAGTTTACTAGGAAGACATCAACTTTAAGTGCTGAAATTTTTACCACTCATACAACTTCCTACCTGCTTCTGGTTCTGAAAGTTTGAATTTTAGAAACAGGAAAATGAAAGAAACCGGAAAACCTAAAAATCTACACACCTACAGACGTGTGAACATTTTCCCATAGAAAGTTTCAGAAGCAATTTCCAACGGAAAAATCAAACAAACCTAAAAGCCAAGACACCTAGAGACATGTGAAACATTTAAGGGTGGGAAAGTTTTAGCAACAGTTTCCAATGGGAAAATGAAAGAAACCGAAAAACCTAAGAACCTTTTCACAACATCTTCAGACGCATGAAACATTTTACGTTGAAAAAATTTTACAAAGATTTACGAGTGTACCACCTTATTTGGATCAAATTTGGCGCAGCACAGCCAAAGTACCGAATTCACTAATGGTTTGCAAAGTCCATTGGACTGTTTATTCGATCTGTTGGACTCGGACTGGACTGCTTTCTAGAGTCCATGGACTGGACTGGACTTAAGAAACTGTTTTTCATGAACTCCAACTGGACTAGACTTTTTTAGTCCGTGGAGTGGATTGGAGTCAAAAAGTTGAGTCCATATAGAGCTCTGGGCATATATTCTACAAATTTTATAAGGAGTACGTTCTTCATGTGTGCAATCAAGTAAATTTTGTAGTAGATACAACGTTGCTTTTGGGATGTACTTCATCGATAAATTTGTGTTTATAGATGAGAGTGTTTGCGGTGCTAAGTCGTAAACGGAGTTGGTCACACATTCTGCCTTTTTACATCGCTGTTTAACAGCATCTCCAACTGCTGTATACAGTCTTAATTCATTTTCTTGGTCAAGCAAATCGTTTTGGAGAGCATTACAAATAATATCCACGCAATAGCTCAGACTGCTTTGTTTTTGGAAGGTGCTGATGATCTTCGATCGATTTTTGATTAGACAATAGACGTAGACGTTTTTTAGGTCGTTCTCCATTATCATTAATGTCGACTTTTATTTTGACAATACAAAGACTACATAAATACCTAGCATATTTCGGTAACAAATTTCGACGTCGTGCATTTTCTACTATCACTTTCGGTATATGTTTTTGTTCCAACTTAACCAAATCATGGGTAGAAGTGCCATGGCAAATAACATGCTCAGGATTACCACATGAAACCTTGTTTGATGTTGAAGTCATACCTTTTCAATGATTTAGAAAGAAGATCTTTGACCTTGAGAAACTTTATTTTATTTTTTATTTTGAAAAGTATATTCACTAGATCTATTCAATATATTAGTCACCCGAAGGCTAGTCATTAGCTCTTTCTTACGCTTCTAGAACTCCGTGACACGTGTTTATAATTCTGCATTCTTCCTTCTTCTTAGTCTTTTCTTTTTCTTTCTTCTATCTTTCTTTTCCTCTACTCTAACTATGGCAAAAATGTTTTTCCTAAAAGAAGGAGAAAGAATTTGAAATTATATTGTATTATGAAATCAAATTGAACTGTGTATTTTTTAGACATCTCTGTTACTTTCTCTTCTCTATCTATTCACGATACAGGAAATAAGCATTGTTGCAAAAAAATTGAAAAGCACACGTTTCACAATCGAACTGCACAGTACAGTCAGATAGAAGAAGAACGAAATATACATTTCTGACACGACCTAGATATTTTCACTATCGTTTTTAGAATGACTCATCAAAGTTAAAGTTTTGATCATACTACAAAAAATGTCAATAATAAACATTTTCAAGCAAGTTGGGGGGTCCTTTCTTTCTTTAATTTTTCCATTGTTCGTCTGATATCTTCTATGTTATCATTTCACTTCGATTTCTTCTTTTCATTGATCCTTGTTTTCCTTTTTTCGTTGTCTTTCATGTTCGTATATATATGCACTTGCTTTTATAAAATAAATGAGAGAACAAAACACGCACATGTCGAACGCGTAATGTTCGTCGCTCTTTACGAGCACGAACGCTAAAAGGCTCCAACTCAAGTCTGTAAGGTACCACAACTCTTTACTAGAGTGACTTTGGATCTTCTCTATTCAAACTCGAATTTGAATGAAAAGTGGGTCTTAAGTTAATCCGGACATGGTTCCAGATCCGGCAAAAACTAAAAATTTGGCTCTGAGTCAAGAAGGATACGGAACTCTCTACCAGTTAGTAGTTTGATGTCATATTTATGGATAGATATCTGTCATCAACACATATGAAGGTCAGCGTATGAGTAAGAAAAAAAAAACTCTTATTCAATTAAATTTTTTCTCTAATTAATTTAAATTTATTGATTAGACACAAATTTTAAAATAATCCAACAGAATAAGTCGAAGTAGCAATTCCACACATGTTCTCATTTCGTTTAATTTTGATATAACCATTATCACCCCAATCTGGTCCCCATGAATTTTTAACTTTCCAATAATCAGTACCATTTTCAGTACCATAACCAACAACAACAGGTGCATGATTGAGATTTCTATATGCCGGACATCCAGGTACATCAAAAATACCAGATGCATAATGATCAAATTTATCCGATACTTCTCGTAGTATAGTATCATTACCTGTGCGTTCTCCACAATTGAAAGAAATATAAACTGGACCTCGTTCATAAACAATTTTTTTCATATATTCTTCATTTCCATTTGGTATTTGTTCATATTGAAGTGTAGAACTTGAATTAGATGAAAGACGTACTCCTTCTCGCTTTTGACATGTTTGTTGTTTTCCATCGGGTGTTGGTGGATAATCTTTTTCTAAATTAAGTCTAAAATCATTTCTTTTAATATAATAAAATGATGGAACAAAATTTCCTCCATCACAACCACCTTGACCTGAACAATCAATTAATTCTTGTGGACTTAATGGACCAGATTCTTTATAAATTTCTGCATATGTTTTTTCTAAAGCTCCAACCACACCAAAAGCATAACATGAACCACAATGACGTTGATTTTTAACAGGTGTAACTGCACCTGGAACACGTGTTTGATTAGTCCAATCATATTCTGGTGGAACTATTGTGTTATCACGTGATTCTATTGGTTGTTCATTATTAAGTGGTCCAACATTTAGTTTTGTACGTAATCCATCTCTTTCTTCATCAGTCCAGTCACTAAATTCATTTATTCTTAATTTAAATGTCGTTGAAGGGTCTTCATTATGTCGAATAACATATTTTAAATTTGATTTAAATATTTCCATACGTTGAGATTTTTTAAAATCGAACATTCTACTTAAATCATCACGAGGATATTTTTCTTGAAAATATCGATAAATATGATCAACTAATCCTGGATTGTTTTCAATAACTTCTTCTTTATTCTTTATGTTTGATAACATTGTATCAATAGCCTCTTGAACGGATAAAGATGAATTAACATAGCCAATGAAACAGAAGACCAGGACAGCGATTAAATATTTCATTGTAATATTGTTTTTCATCTCAATAAAGAGCATTTATTCTTCGAGTGATTTTATATTTAATAAGTATCAATAAATATTTATTTTCCATATGTTTCTGTTCTCATCCTATGATTTTATATTTAATAAGTATCCATAAATATTTATTTTCCATATGTTTCTGTTCTCATCCTATGATTTTATTATCAATATTGTTTCTTTCTTATCTAATTCATTCCATTAAGATAAATATTAGTATATGATTTTAAAATGAAGATTATTTTATTCATTTAATTTGAGAAGGAATCAATAACAATAATACACTGTAAAGGACCCCACAAGAACAAGAAAAAAATCTTATATGATTCTTTTTCTTAGGTGAAGGGGCGTAACTGTTTTCTCTAAAAATTACACTGCTTTTCCATAAAAAGTCTTTTTTTGAGGAGTGCATTAGCCTGAATTTTAGCTACAACAGTTTTAGAAACTTTCTCAGAACTAGGCGTGTGACACCTCCAGGTCAACAGCTCTTGAGAACTGAATCGAAGGGCTGATAGAAAGCTCTAGCTTCCGTTAGTTGGAGCTGATGCATGAATTCTTTTCATATAAGCTATCTCATAACGTTTCTAGGGCTAGTTTCTTGGCAAGAGTTATGCCCCGGACGGGAAATATTTCTCGTTCAAGAAAGATGTATTTCCCGATTGGGAAATATGTCATGATCGGGAAAGCCAAATCTGTCCCATTCGGGAAATATTTCGACATGTCTATTTTGAAACCCTTCAATGCATTTTATAACACTTGTTCTGGTTGGTTCCGTTGGAAAGAGCACGAAAAACTGCATCGATTGATGCGGTGCCAGGTGAATTCGATGCGCTTCTATCATATCTGATATGATAGAAATGTTGAATAGAAGTAGGATCAGAACCTTTCCAATGATGACATCATCAGTATCTCAAGAGCTATTATATGGAAGAACCGTTGGATCCTGATATCCTGTTACATGAAGCGACTCTTAGTTTCTCAATTTTCTCAAGTACTATTGTATAAGGCTACGGATAGGTCAGCACAGTGATGCAACAATGCTAATACTTCCAGTGGTATTGATGGCACTGGCAGTGCGTAAAGAAAAATCAAATTTGGGTATTTTGAAAAATTCATTATACGTTCGAATTTCGCGACGCCGCCAAACTTTGATCAAACTTTATAAAAAGGAACCCTTATTTTCTTTAAAAAGCTTTCCCCTGGCGAAAATGAAGCAATTAAAATTACTCTTTCCAAAGTTTACGTTCTTGATTTTTTCGCCAAGGAAGGGCTTTTTTTTCGAAAGTAGTGGTTCTATATAAAGTGTCAACAACGGCTTTCGGGATCGAAGAATTTGAATCTAACATTAGTTTTTCGAAATTTTCAACTTTGACGTTCCCTTGCAAACTATCAATACCACTAATATCAAATGGTATTGGTATGGAGGTATTAGGATTGTTACATCCATCTGCTGATCTATGGGTACCCTTATACAGTAGAACATGAGGACCTAAGAATATCTTCATATAATAAGAGATGAGGACCTAATAGTATCTTTATATAATAACCTCTCAGGATCCAAGGGTGTCTTCATATAATAGGACATGAGGGCCTATGGATAATAATAGACCTTGAGGACGCATAGGCACTCCCATAGTTTAGCCCTTGAGGATCTGCGGGTATCTCTAAACTACCAAGGATTTTATAAATGATAGATTAGTTAAATGTATACCGAGTCGGACTGGGTACCCAGTCCAACCGGTACTCAGTCTCCAGTTTTGAACTGGCACTGGTGCATACCTATTTGTGATACTTTGTTTCACTTTCTTTTTCACTTTCTTCTACTTTCGTTACTTTCTTTTCACTTTCTTTTGCACTTTTCAACCTGTTCCTTTGTACAAACAGCGAATCCATATGGGTGAAACTGTTTGATCATATCCGTGGTCCTAATAATAAGACAAGAGAACCTCTGCCAGATCAACTTGTATGTAGCATCAACATGAATTTTATTTGAAATAGTTGCATTAAATAATAATCTTTTAGTTGTAACACAGAATCGAAATTTATTCCAGTCATCATCACCATCATCAATTTCATCTTCATATTCTATATGATATTGTAGTACCCAAAGTTTAACGTCATTATCAGATATAACTGAATTTTGTTGACACCAAGCTTCCAATTGACCTAGACTTATACTTGATGTACCAAGCAACTTTTCTCTGGACGATGTCAAATAATTCGATAATTGCTGTTTTTTAGGAACAGGTCAACCTCTTTCATTTAATATTTCCAGTATATGTTTCGGCTTGACCTTCATTTTGAACAACTCGTCAGATACTTTTTTTGATTGTTGGCCTATGACAGTTGATTTCGGTTCTTGATGTAAATGATCATCTCCAGTTTCATACATTGAAACACATTCATTTTCACTATGGTATAAAATATGAATACCAGCAGGATACCGTTCTCCACGTCGTTTAAACTTGATTCCATCTATAATAAACCCGTTTGGCTTCACTGGTTGTATTTGTATGAGTTTTGCTCCATATACCATCATTTTTTATTTTATTAATAGCATCATCTTTATTGTTGTATGTGCATATTGGGACCCATTTTCGTCTGTTTTTGTTTTGTTTTTCACTTCTTCATTATTATTAGAAGATCCCAGTTCCATATCATCACTTTCACTATCAGAAATATATTATACTACATGTTGTGATTGAACCATTTGTATAAATTTTATATTTGTTCGCGGCGAATCGGTGAAACTGGTCGAACATAAACTTATCTTTTATTTCCCAAACAACCACAATATATATAGTGAACGAGTGATGGAAAGATCCAAAGATATTTGGACATAAACATGATCGCGAGAGAAAAGTCCCAAAAAACCATAAAGAGATGATACGGTTGGAAAATGCCCAAAAGGTGAAAAGAAGTAAAGAAGAAGATGATACATATATGTATATCGTACATCCTGTACGATATCGTAAAAGAGACGAAAAAAAGAAAAAAACATATGAGAGAAACGTAACTTTCTGGTACAATCGATAAAAAAAAATAAAAGTGTTCATAAAAAAAATTCGAATAGTACGTTTTGTTCCCCTGTCTTTGCCGAGTATCCTATAAAAACTTCCCAACTGCCAGACTCATACTGGCTGAGTTAGGAAGGAGACAATTTTCAGTTTTTGTCATGGAGAATTTTTGGCAGGAGTTTGCTAGAAAAAAGGTTGAAATAGATGTATTCTACATCGTTCGACAGAGAATGATTCAAGCAGTACGGTGGGACTGTGAGAAAATGCGTCAAGCCGCATAACCGCAGAAAAAGTTTTTTCATTCTTTAGTGTTAAAATCTAAAAAGTCCGATGTGATGTGATTCTACTTTCAGAATTATCCATTATTTTAGCAAAGACTATAGATTTTAGAGCTCCAAAAATTAGGTAGTCAAACTCGCCGCAGTCTGAGGAGTCGACTGGTGTACGGTATTGATAGTTTTCGTTTAGCTTTGACCAAAAATCTCACGTAAAAAGGTTGATCTACATTTAGTTAAAAACAAAAGTCGGTCTACATTTTCCCCTATAATGTAAAAATAGTAAGGAACAAAATGAGGATTCGATCTGAAATTACTTTTGCTAGTACAACTTTTGATGCTCTATCTAGTGTAGAACTTTGATCGAGAACGAATGCATGCTTCATTAGTTCTGAGCAAAACAAGTTGCAAAAGTCAGTCTACACTTAGAGCTGAAATTGACTTCCGCAAGAATGAAAGCTGTTTTTATCTCTACCAAATCATGCAAACTGGATTTTTTTTAAATAGAGCATTAGAAAATTATGTACTTTTGTCGCGCTGCACGAAATTAAGTAAAAATGGGGCGCTATGTGCAAAATTTTTCGGTGAATCCGACAGCGGGTTCCTTATAATTATACTTTGACTTCTTTTCTGGTGTCGACACAATCTATGTGATTTTTGCCTAAATTTTATTTTTCTCATTGGTTGAAAAAAAAGCGCCAATGAGAAAAATAAAATTTAGGCAAAAACCGCGTAGATTATATCGACACCAGAAAAGAAGTCAAAGTATAATTATAAGGAACCCGCTGTCGGATTCACCGAAAAATTTTGCACATAGCACCCAATTTTTACCTAATTTGGTGCAGCGCGGCAAAAGTACATAACTTTCTAATGGTTGTAGACCGACGTCTGATCTACAATTTAGCCGCTCCAAAAATTTCTTCATTGGCGGACTTTTGGGGAAAATTGTAAGAGAAGGTCGGTCTACGAAAAACGGAAAAGATGCTTGTAAAATGATTATATCTAAAGAACAACAAAAGAAGTAAACAAAGTTGAACACTAATCATATGGTTAGATTCACAATTCAATTCTCTACAGGATGCGCTGCTTTTCTTTTCTTTTTATATCTTTTTATA